AGATGGGGACACAGGGATGGGACAGCTGTGTGCAGATGCCAGGCCCTATGGTGCCTTCGGGCTCAGGGCTGCCTTCCTTCTCTTTCCTCCCTGTCTTCCTTCCTCCTGCCACACTGGCTGTCCTCAGCAGGACAAGGGCCCCGCCTGCCTCGGCTCACAGCTCCCGTGCCTACTTCACAAGGCTGTCTCTCCCTGGCTTCAACCTCTGGCTTCAGGGCGCTGAACACAGCTGTGCTGAGATGAGAGGGTCCGAGTCCACCGGGGCGTGGGGGGAGGAGCTGGCTGGGCCCAGGAGAGCCCTGTGGAGTGAGGAAGCACCCTCCATTCTGGCTGTGGTACTGGTTACATGGGCACAAGCATCTATCAGAATGCGTCACACTATCAATAGCTGTTTTATTGCTTGCAAATTAAACCACTACAAACCTGATTTCAAGGAACAGGAATGATCGAACTGATGATTTCTCTCAGCCTCAGTCCGAATGAGAAGAGACATCCACGCAGGGTCCTGCGAGGGAGGCTGGAGAGGCAGTGCCTTCTCCGGACCTTGGCCCCCAGAGCCCAGGCCCAGGCAGATTCCTCTCCTCCAGCGTAAGAGACAAACTGACTGTGGTGGCCACGCCTGTAATCCCAGTACTCTGGGAGGCTGAGGCAGGAGGACTGCAAGCTTCAGCTCAGCCTGGGCAGCTTCATGACTTAACAAGACCCTGTCTCAAAATAAAAATGAAGGGCTGGGGATTTAGCTCAGTGGTTCCGCCGCCTGCCTCGCAAGCTCAAGGTCCCAAGCTCAATCTCTGGTACAAAAAAATAAAAAAAAAAAAAAAATGAAAAAAGGACTGGGGATTAGGTCCTGTGAAGGCCCTGGGTTCAGTTCCCAGTGGCGAATGTTTACTGTGGCAGATGGGGGCTCTCGGGTGCGCCTGGACGTCTGGGCATGCAGACCCCATCTCCCTGCCCAGGGCTGCGTGCCTCTCAGTGTGCCAGGCTTGCTGTCATTTATGCTTAGCAAGGCTCCTGTTTCCTGTTCAGTCCACTGCTGAAGTCTGAACTTCTAGAAGTTTCTTCAGTACAAATTGCAAACCTGGAGTGCGGAGGATATCCTTTGAGGAAGGCTGAGGCAGGGCACAGACACAAGCTAAGTTGTGCACAGCCAGCGCTCCACGTGATGATGAGGCTGGGATGCAGAGGCCAAAAGTGAGACTGATCATGTGGCTGAGTGCCAGCCATGGGGCGCAGGCAGGCGTGCAAGAACAACTTTTAGGAAGTGTCCTCTGTGTGTCTGTGTGCTTGTACATGCACGTGATATGACCATGGTGATTTGCTCCAGGGCTGTTGCACTGATATCCCCAGCCCCTTTTTTTAAAAAAAAAAAATTTGAGACAGGGTCTCCCTACATTGCTGAGTTGTCCAGGCTGGGCTCAGTCTTGTAATCCTCCTGCCTCAGGATCCTATGGTATTGGGATTACAGGTGTGTGTCACCATTCCAGGCCACAGGAAGTGCCACCAAAGGCAAAGGCCCAAGCCTCCTCTCCCGGAATCCAACCAGCAGGACCCTAATGTCAGGCACAGCCCTGGTCCATCTGGCCTGGACCTCTCCAGGAGTGAAGGACACACTTCTGGGGCGGTGACATCTTTTCTGATTAGAAAGTCTAGGGGATGTTTCTGCTCAGGCCCATCTGCGGGCACCAGATGGCACCGGTGCCATGAGGAACCCCACCCACTCCAGGGAGGGTGGGGTGTAGCCTGTCCTGGGACAGGTGACTGAACAGAGCTTCCTCCCTGCACATCCCCATGGCCATGTGCCCTGGACAGGGTGGGGGGAGCTGGTGGGAGAGGTTGCAGGCTGGGGGCACCTGTGTTGTACGGGACCTGGCCCCTGCCTCAGTGAGGCACCCGGCTCCACGGGGCTGTGTCTAGCGGCCCCCATTACCTGTCCCCAGGGTCCCCAGGGGAGGGAGTGTGGCCTGCGGTGACCATCTGTCTCAGGTCACTGCGGTCGGCCACACACGGCCACGCATAACTGCGAAGGGCCACACTCTAGGCCCGGCCTGGGTGTCCCGGGGACTGCAGGGGCCTGGAGCCACTGATGGGTCCACACAGTTGCTGTCCTGATGGCTGGGCACAGGCAGGCAGGAGTACGACCAGATGCTCGGCCTCTCTGCCTTGCTACCCTCAGCCAAGTGCCACCTTTAGGCCCACCCACCCAGCTTCGCCCCAAAGCAAGCAGTGTTCTGGCTTCAGCCTGAGGGACACCCGCCCAGGGCACAACCTCAGCGTCTCCTGCTCGGGGCCCCAGGCTGGGCCTTAGAGCCCTTCCTGGCTTCTCCCCAGGGGCCTCCTTACTTCCCATCCACGCAGCAGAGCCGGCTCCCTCTAGTCCTGGCGCCTCTGTCGCTGCGAACTTGTCCGCGGTGCCCAGCCCGCCCCGTCGCTCCCCTGAGACTCACAGGGCCCGCGCAGTGCGGGCCGCAGCCACAGGGCGGCAGCACCTTCGCTCCCTGCCCGACGAACCTGTCCGCCTGGGCCGCCTGCGCCCGCCCCGCGCTCGGGACCGGAGGACACCGGCCCGGATTGGGCCGGACCGGCGCACTCGACCCCATGCCGAGCGCCAGCGGCGACCGCGGTTACCGGGCCTCGCGCCGCACCGAAAAGCAGGTACCAGCTGCTCCAAGCC